CTGGAATGCGTAGCAAGATTCATACGTGCCAGCCACAAACCGTCCCGCTGATTGCCTTTTTTTTATTGGATGTCGTTGAACAACAAATGCTTACCAAGTCTTCTTCATCAGTTATTATTTAACCATTTGTTTAACAACATCCAATAAGAAAAAAGGCAATCAGCAGGACGGTTTGTGGCTGGCACGTATGAATCTTGCTACGCATTCCAGTCGCTCGAATACTGTGGGATTTTGATTTTCTTCGAGGGCTAGCTCCGGGCCGTTTGGATGGATTTTCGATTGGAAGGTACGAGAAGAATCGTGAATCTTTGGACCTTTATGCTGCGAAGTTTGAAAGCGAGCGATGCGATTTTGGGGGAAAAATCGCTCCGGCACTGGAACCCTTTCAAAACAATGATTCCTCCCTTGTCCTTCTATTATATGGAACAGTCAACGGCAAACTCAAATTCATTCAAAATCGCTCAAAAAACCGCTTTTGAGGCAAAAGGACGACTATACACCACAGGTAAGGTAATTCAACGTTTATTTATCATTGATTTATATACATAGTTAGCGATATATCGCTATAGGTGAAGCAAACGGTAAATCCAGTACATTTACTGTAAAATAACAATCGGCTACACAAACAGATTGTGTGGGTTCCCTGTGGAAAAACATTTTGTTCATGGGTCTGTGCATTTGTTTTTTATTTAAATTTGTTACCTCAGTTAGTAATGGTAGGACTGAAACAGCTATATCACAAAAAGCATAGCCCAGAGAAAGTTGGGCAGTAGTCAGCAAAGGATCATGGGGCAAACTATTGAGGAGCTTAGTACGGGTACGTCTTTTCGCTAGCATTAGCCATAATTATGCTAAAATTCAGATCACTTTAAAATAAAACAAATTTATCCTATCCAAATTGTTAGTTTTTCACGAATGAGTGGCTTCAATTGCCTTTCAAACTCTGCTAGTTTGCGCCGAAAATTAGCTAGGTCACTGGTCAACTGACTCCCCACCCCGGGGATGCATGTGTGTTGCTGTAAATGTTTGGTAATTTCCCAGGGGGAGGTGCAAGAAATGACTGTAAAATCAATGTATCTGTCCCACTAATGCGCTGTAAAATGCCCACTGTCTGGAGGGGTTCGGGGGTCGGGGATGCAATTGAATAGTGCATAACTTTGACGCGAAACGTAACAACTTTTGACATGAAATGTAACATAAACCCGCAATGTAATAACTTTTGTAGCAAAATTTAACAATATTTTTGAAAAATGTAATGCGAAATGTAACAAGCAAAATGTTACAGCCTAGAAATAACTAAAAGACTTGCTCATTAGCCTTGTTGATAAAGTGATGAAGTCGAGGGTTTGCATAACTGTCGAGAATTCTCCCAACCCCTCTCGTGTTCATATCAGGCTATGCAAACACAGGAAAAAAGTTTTCTGTTGCTTTTATAAAATACTTTGCCGAGAAAAACACTCAAAAATTCTTTATTATGGCACTGATTAATACAGAAATTCTTACCAGTCCCAAAGTCTTGTACACGAAGTCTTGCACGCGTAATCAGTCCTTGTTTTGCAAAAAGATGCTTTCCAAAATACGGATTTCTCTCGCTTAAAATGTCAGCTTTAGCGAAAAAAAATCGACACAGCTTGTTTGTAAAGATTTTACAAGTTTCAGCCAACGAAGGAATGGGTAAATAAAGTAACCTTGTCGAGTTTTGAACTCAAAAACTTTTTCAAATTCGTGCTTACTTGATTAGCGCAGGAAAAGCAAAACATCTTAGTAATACATCATGCAGTTAACTAATCATTTGCTGTGCTCGGAAGGACACTTAATGATTTACATGTATAGCACAAAATTGAAAGTCTCTTGATCATTGATAAAACAAATAGCAATAGATCTTTGTGGTTATTTCCTCGATAGAGCATTGGTCTTTATCTGCCATGGATATGGAGAGCATTGTTCACGCTACGAGAGGCTTGGAAATGCTTTAGCTGAACAAGGCTACCTCGCCTTCGGTCAAGATCATGGTATGTCCCACCCCGGCCTTGTTTAATCTCTTCCGTGATACAGTAACTACATCTAATCATACTTTCTCGGGAAGAGTCGCGGGGGGGGGGGGGGGGGGGGGG